TTATAATGTTACAAAGATTTCTATTTTAAATACTGTAAAATGCTGTTCTTTTGTGAGAAAATATATCACAATTTCCACACAAAAAAATGAAGCAGCAAAAACTGTTTTTAACATTTGCAATAGAAATATTAAATATTATCATATTATAATGATTTTTTTTAAGGATCATAAGACTGAAGACCGGAGTAATGATGCTGAAAATTCAGCTTTACCATCACAGGAATAAATTACATTTTAAAAACAGAAAACAACTATTTTGAACAGTAATAATATTTCACAATTTTACTGACTGATCAAATAAACGCAGCCTTGGTGAGCTTCTTTCAAAAAGATCTAAAAATCTTACCGACCCCAAACTAAATGAAAAATATGAGGATCACTTACAATCCTGCCGTCCCCTGATCCCAGGTCAGCGATGCCTCCGGATCTGCCCTTCAGGAGAGTCATGACGTTACACACTTGAGCTCTGCTCGCTGGCATATAAGGCACCTGAAACACAAACACAGCTGTTATTGGGCTGATCAATCCCTCATCAGGTGCCGCATTAATATCGACACACTCCTCAAACCTCACCTGTAGTTTGAGCGGCACCCGGCGAAACCCCGGCATTAGGATTCCTGCCCAGACGGCGTAGACCGCCAGACCTGTGCCGGCCGTCAGCTGCAGGATCTGCCAGCCGCCCAGACGCCGCTCTCTGAACTCGGACAGCATCTCCTCCTGTATGTCGTCTTCCATGGCTATAGAGATGAACACTGTATGACTATATCAGATCATATTTTATATTGTTTTTCATTTTCAGATTTCACACATACCTGAGCAATGGGTCGATGCCTAAAAGTTGCTTAGTGGTTTTGAGGTCCAGGCTTGGACCTGAAGTTGCAGGGTGAAGAAATTCACTTTTGAGTGATGAAGTTAGATTGCAGATCTGAATTGTACCATCTATCCCTTATATTGGAGGAACTGAACAATTTGGCTGCCCGGTTCTTCTAGGAATGTGTTATTACATTGTTAGTTCATGAAGATGAGTCGTAACAGATGGTTGTGAGCCATCAGAGACATACTGTATATTGTGACTACTTGTGGCTTTGCACAGTATCTCTTATTCCTGTCAATCTTTAATGTTTTGACAATATTATTGATCTGTCTGCATTGACACCATTAAATGAGAACTGAACTGAGCTGGACAATGACATCATGGTTTTCTCCAGTGCTTGTATAGATAAATAAACTAAATTTATAACTTTTTTTAAGCAAAAATTAACCATCATATTTTTTTGCTGAACAGCTGAAACTAATTTTGTTGCATTTTTTTTTCTTCATGTTTTCACTGTAAATTTGCTTTGTACCAGTCTGTAAAAATCGCTATATAATTAGATATGATGAGTATCTTGAGATGACTTGACAAGATCCCAAAAATCATTATATACTTATAATAAACACATAATGTAATAATTTAATATTAACATAATGTATTAATTTAATAATAATTTAATTTAATAATGTAACACTTGGTTATATTGCCTTTTACCTCAACAAAATGTCACCAATTTCCAATAAAGCCATTTTATTGACATGTAAGTTATTTTATTGACACATCTTTTGAGTTGTGTGTGTGTGTGTGTTGTGTTAATTTAGGTACCCTTTCCACAAATATTACGTGTAAAAGGCTAATTATGATTAGAAACGACTCACATAAAAACGCACAATTCCCTAAATATGAAGATATTTGTCAAAAAAAGTGAAACATTCACATTTCTGGAGGTCAGTCAGTTTTCTTTTACTTAATATAACAACACAGACATATCAAAATCATGCACTGAACGTGTTAAACGCCTTATTTATAAAGTAGAATAGGAAAACAATTTACAACCTCTGAACAAACATTCAAGAATAACCAACTAACCTTCAATGTACGCGGTCTGAACATATTTACACTACAGCAGTAAAATAACTTCCGGTTTTGGATTATTCAAAATAAAGGTCTGGAGACTTGACCCATAATTCAAAATTGAAGTATCATAATGGGGTTTTAAAAATCAATATATTCATGCGTTTTATTCATGAATTATTATTATTTTATTTATTTTAAATAATAAAATAAAATAATAAAATAAACATTTATTATTCGTTCCTTCAAGCTAATTGGAACTGTCTCTTTTAACAAGCGATAAAATTTACATCATCTGGCATAAAATCTAGTTACATCATGACACATTTCTCGATGAAAACTGTTTAACTTGTCGGGTAAATTAGCACAAATTTCACTGATGCTTAATCTATGAATAATAGCCGACTGCATTGATTACAGAATCTGTTTAGTGTTTACTGTCTTTGGTTCAGATGATGGCGCTCTTATAAAGCGAGAGTCCTCATGACCAGACTGACCATTTATTTTCATTTCAACAAACCATCATTACAAAGAATGTATCAGGCATATATTGCATGAATTTGCCAAGAAAAGAAAAACATTACTATATAAACACGATCCTGATTCAGACATTTGAAACAGCCTATAGGCTACTGTTAATCTTATGCAGCACCAAAATCATGTTTTGCTAGTTTGGTAAGATGCATCATATATAAGAAACAGAGAATGATTGACTGTTTTTCCCCATCCAGCACATCTGCTTTTATGATGACGAAAGCCAAATGAATTATTAATGTTCAGATTCAGCAGAGATTCAACAAAATCATCACCTCAGAAGTTCAGATCTCTTACAACGATCGTCCAGAAGAGGACAGACTCTGTTCATCAGAAATATTTCATCATTTTAGTATTTTCAGTTCTTCAGTAGCCTACTGGTGAATATTTTCCCATTATAACTGTGAGCCGTTGTTTCCTTTTTTAAAGTAGTAGCTTATTATTGAAACTTACTTGTAGCTTATTATTGAAGCATGCAACAATGAGATGCTAAACAACACACTGAAATGCTTAATGTGCCCTGATAAACATGCTAAAATATATTAATATATGCGTGGGAGTTTGGAATACAGTATAGATTATAAGCTCTAGTGAATCGGTAAAAGAGGGGGGAAAGTAAACATTTTCAATATTTAATGCATCCCTTTGATTTTGTTTTTTAACTCACAATCTCATATTTTCCACTAGTATTAAAAGATTAATGCATTTGTCATATGACATAATATACATTTTAGTTAATATTTCTAAACGCAAAGGCTAAAAGTCAAAATATACATTACACTATACAAATAACCTTTCATATGCGGCATATTCCATAAAGCCAGTTTATGACTTGACTAAGTCAAGTATATTTTGTAATATATAACACATTGTAAATCCCAGAAGCTCTGCATTGAATTCTGACAGGCGGATCTCGGGGAAAGCATCATGATTATGTGTCCAGATGTGCTGTCCTCTCCTGCTAGGTGCCAGGACCTCGTCTGGCTCTCCTCTGACCCCACAGCACTTTACCTGGGACTTTTACAGGACTCTTCGCTGGGATCTGTTGTGGGAATCTCTTGACAGAGACTTTCTGGGATGTCCAGAGTTTTGGCTTGGGAAATTTCCCTGC